TCTGTCAGTAAGTAGGTGGCTGGATTGACTTGTTTCATGGTCTTAACATTCACCCTCGGGTTTCCTTGGAGGATGCCCTGGTATTGAGTCAGTTTGGGGTTCAACAGCCACTTATGCCCCTTGCAAGAGGGTTATGGCAGCAGTGACTGCCCTCAGACGAGGTGGCCAGCCGGTGGTGTCATGGTCCAGCTGCTTAGACAGGTGAGCCACCGGGTGTTGCCATGGTCCGACAGGCTGGGTCAGGATTCAAGGGCTACCTTGTCTCTCTTGTGGGTGTACAGATTAAAAGGCCGCCCGGCGTTGACAGTCCAAGGGCAGGAACATTACTGAGGCACCTCTTGATGTTTTGGAAGCTTTCTCTTAGTGTCCGGACCCTTCAAAGCCTGGTAGTAGGGCCGAGTTCCACAGCCGCAGGGTGCAGGCTGGCTTTTCCTCAGGAGAATGAGCATTTTCCTCAGAAATCAGACAAGGTTCTGGAGGGCGTTGGCAACTCTGCCATTTTCTGTCCTCGCCCCTGATCACACCGTGAGTACTTCCAGCAAGCCTGGTTGCTGAGCTCTGCACCTGGTGACATTGCCAGAGCCCCAAGGGAGCTTGCAGGCCACTGGGGCAGGCGAACCCAACGGAGCAATGAGAAGGGCCATGACAGAGGACTGCACAGACGGCTGTGGGGGGGCACTTCAGCAGCGTGTGCGTTCTCTCCCGGCACCGTTTTAGGGATGGGCTGCCAGGAGGAGGTCGTCCATGTACTGCAGAATTGTCAGGTCCATCCCCCCTTAGCGAGGGGTCTCCTGCTAGGGCTTCCCCAAATAGAGTTGGGAGTTCTTAAACCCCTGGGGCAGTCTAGTCCAGGTTAACTGAGTCTTGACCACTGTGTGTGGATTTTCGTCATTCAAAGGCAAAAAAGGGGTTGGCTGGAAGGTGCCACTGGAATGCAGGAGAAGGCATCCTTCAGATCAAGGCAGGTAAACCACATTGCTGTTGGGGGAAGCTGGCTCGGGAGGGTGCACGGGTTCGGGACCACTGGGCAGCAGCTGTCAGCTGCTTCGTAGACAGCCCACAGATCCTGGACAGGCCAGTACTCGCTCCCGTCTGGCTGCTCTCATGGGTCTGGGCAGGTGTGGCCCCATGTTATGGAGCCAATCTTCTCAAGCTCCCACTCGGGGGACCTGCCTCCCAGTCACATCCTGGGCAGGGGAGTCTTTTTTATCTCCCTGGCCCAGAGCATGGTCACAGCCATTCAGCACATCCAAGTGACCAGCTGAAGGCTACAGGTATGCTAAATGACCACGCCATGGGTCAGCCGCAAAGCTGTTCCTGTACAAAACAGCCCCGCATGTTTTGCTCTGTGTGTCCCTCCCCAACTCGCACCTGTGGGGGAAGGGGTGAAGACATCTTAAAATTTCTTGGACACTTTGAGTTATGGACCCCATCCCAAATGCCCATTTGGGGTCCCTCCCCCCTTGGCTGCACTTTGTAATGATTTTTCATTTTAGATATATACCCACTTTAAATTCTTTTAAAGGACAATGGACAAAGGTCTTGTCTTCTTGTAACTGCTTCCGGCTGGAAATGGACGTTGTTCTACCTACCCGTGGGTTTGGGGTGCCCTGAAAGGGGGTGCAGCACGGAGGAAGTCCTTCCTGTAAGGGGAAGGACCTTACAGAACCCTGGTCAGTTGGCTGTTACCAGGAAGTCACAGGCTTGGTGTCCAAAGGCTGGCATTACTGGACTGTTGGCATCCTGTTCATACTCTGGAGGTGACAGATTTGGAAAGAGTTGAAAGGCACAATTAAATCATAACCATTAAATGACAAAGGCAGGGGCTTAGGTATGGCTTATCTGGAGGAAGGTGTACAAGGCATGCTACACTTATCCAAAACTCTTATGGCCCATTATACTTTACTCAGGCTGAAGGGACTACAATATGATTTCCCTCCTTTCAGATATTTAAACTTTCCCTGTTTAAGCCAGTGAGACAGAAAAGGGAAAATCAGCTTTAAAGTGAAGCCCACAGATCTCCCAAACTGCTTACTAACCCAACCACTCAGTTCAGCCAAACCATTGAGCTCCAGGGGGCGATGATGAAAAATGGGCTCCTTAAGTGAGGCCTATATTGCAACCAGTCACTCAGGTAATGAAGTCATAGGCATACGTCCTATGAAAACAGAAGAACACACAGGTTAATTCACACAGTAGTCCCCAAACCAGTCTCCGTGCCTGTGAGACTGTCTTTTGGGAAGGCATTCAGTTGCGAGTTTTTTCCTGCAATGACATTCGGCAATTTGACAGGTCCTTTATACCTCTAAATTGTACATTTTTGATGATATTACAAAACCAGTTTTAACTTTTAAATGAAAACAAACTTTTAAGACAGTTAGCTGCATTATTTTGATGTTTAATACTAAGCACTGTGATTTTCCTTGAACCATAATTTTTCTCCTTAAGATCACCCTCACTGTTATTAAAGGGACTACTTTGAGTTCCGCTTTTCATTTTGACTGTTTGCATAAACACACCAAGAGCAGCCTGGATTACTTATGATCTTTAATTCTGCTTTGCTGGAACTCACACAGGGAACCTTCAGATTGACTTCTCAGTCCGCCCCTCAGGGCACAGAAGCAGAGCCACACATCTGCCATCTGGCTTTGCCTGTACCAGTTGTTTCACTCAGATCCTTGAGGTTTTCATTATGCCCACAGGTTCCTTTTGGCCATCTTTCATGAAAGCAACCTTCCTTCCTTCCCTGGAAAGATTGCCATGAACCACACACCAACCAAAGTACCAGGCTTTTTCCGTGGGCTTACGCTAGCATCACAAGTCAATCCCAGTTCCTCAGGGCTCTTTGGTGATGACCAGAACCCATACATGCCTCCATCAGACGTGACGTTCCAGTCAAAGTCTTGGTTAACAAAACCACTATTAACTACTGGTCTTATTGGTCTTATGCAAAGAAACCTTATGTTTTCACTCACTCCATCAGAATGCCAAATTCTGGAGGGATCAGGTAGGGAGAAAAATACAAAGCCTGAAGGAAAATCTTTTCCCTTCTGATATCCACCGGGCTTTTTAAAACCTTTACTTCTACAGACGTTTTGCAACATTTACAACCCTTTTATTTTTTCATACATTTTCTGATATCCACTAAGAGTGTATTTCCATGCCTTATACCTTTTATTATTACCTAACACCACATAATTCCTTTCTAAAACTTTTACTTTTCCATTTATCTTTAGTTTCCCACAGACCTTCTTCATATATATATATATATAAAATTTACTTTTCTACAGAATGTGAAGTTTTAACCTTCCCTGGAATCCTTAATTTCCTTTTCAGAGCAGATGCAGAGCAAAATCCAAAGCACAGAGTTTCCAGAACAGTACACAGGTAGGGGCATTCTCTTGCACAGAGACATACTCCTTCAGGCCCAGTCTTTTGGCAGAGACATGCTGCTTTGCCTCTGACTGAAGCACTTATCAGCCCCAAATGACCCTTCCTGGGTCCCGAGTGGCAAAGGCATCCTCCCCAACCGGTTACAGGCAACCTTAAACAGATTTTAAGTACAGAGAGTTTTTGATCAGAAACAACACTGCTCTTTTCTCACAAAACCAGAAAACAAATAGTTGAGGTTTCCTTTACTCCAGGTTTAAAACTTTACATTCTTTATACATAATTTTACTCATTTAGATTTAACCATTATTCTTTTAATCCTGGTTCCTTTCCCACTCTGGGAAGGACAGCCGAAAGTCCCTGGCACTGCAGGTACCTTCCACTAAAATTCCCTAGATTTGCAGGGACATTCTGCAGTTTTCTGAAGCTCAGACCCTACAAACACCCTACAGGCCAGACGTTTTCCTTAAACCTCAGTACATGTCCTTCAGAGCCATTCTTATCAGAACCAGTTACACAGAGAACCAGACTGATGCAGTCTGGAGAGAGAGCCCTTAGCCTGGTACCTTGCCCAGTTCCAAGATGGAGGGGCTCTCACATGACCCATTATCTAAGATGAGGACAACCATGCACCTCCACCCCCGGGGAGGGGGGACACTCACTTGGCTCGTCCTCCATTTTCTCTAAAATGGCGGCGCACCCACATACTTGCAATATAGTACTGGGGCAGAAACCCCCCCCAACCCATGATGAATTCTCCCAACTGACGCAGACAAACAAAGGAAAAGGGGATCTTTCACACGCCCCTGATCAGCCCTCACTGGTCTCGGGTCCGGTCCCCGGGGCACTTACCGATACCTGATTGGTGCCTCCGACAGTCCGTGGTTAGGGTTAGCCCTCCGCCCAGGTGTTAGAGCGGTCGGAGACCTGGCATGGGAGTCTCTGCCCTGGGAAGCCTGGAATCACCAGGGCACGTGCTACTCCCCTGCGGCAGGGCTCCCCCGCCAACTCCCCCGGTCACCTTCACCGGAGGCAAAATACCTGCTCGAGTGAGGGATTTCCCGGCCAATGCACCAAAATGTTGTGGAAAATCCACCCACACTCGGGGAGATAACAAAGCACAAACTTTATTAGGCGCACGCATGGGCTCAAGGGGGGTTAATTCCCAAATCCTGAGCCAAAAAAGCTGGGTTTGGAGTCCTTTTATATACCAGTTACACAGGCAGAAAGGGAGGGGGAACCAGCTGCTGAAAGCAAGCATTCAGAAGCAGGAGCAAGGTTAGTGACCTTGAGAAAACGTTACTTAGCAACGTCTGTTAGCCGGCTCCTTACCTAAAATAACTTTTACTCAGCTTTTGTCCCGACAAAACTTGCAAGTGTTACAGAGAGCAGTTTCTTTTCCTGCCACACACCCACCCTCATTCTGGATGCCGCGCTCACCCCACCTGGTTCTTCTCAGAAACCGCTTCTCATCTTCTTTCCTCTCTCTCTCTCTCATTCCTCAACTTTCCCGATGTCTTTTCCCTTCGCTCCCTCCCTTCCTGCCTTTTCCTCCCTCCCTCCCTCCCTCCTTCCCTTCCTTCCTTCCTTCCTTCCTTCCTTCCCTCCTTCTTTCCCTTTTTTCTTTCTTCCCAGAAAGAGCAGTTTTTCTTCTGATGTGTTTGTTTAAAAATAATGGCTAGTCCTCCTGGCTGGTGTAGCTCAGTGGACTGAGCGCGGGCTGTGAACCAAACTGTCGCAGGTTCCATTCCCAGTCAGGGCACATGCCTGGGTTGCAGGCCACGGCCCCCAGCAACCGCACATTGATGTTTCTCTCTCTATCTTTCTCCCTCCCTTCTCTCTCTAAAAATAAATAAATAAAATCTTTAAAAAATAAAAAATAAAAATAATGGCTAGTCCTGAAAGAACGCACAGGTGAAAAAGAGCATCGCCCTTCTGGTGGCTTTGTCCAGTGTCAGTTTAGTGCATCTGGACTGACATTTCCCAGAATCCCTTGCCTGTAGAGGACCAGGTGAGTGTCTGCCAGGAGAGATAATTCGTGTGTCATTTGCAAAGAAGAAGTGAGACTGTTTCACCAGGCCCTGTGGTGGCTTCCACACACTGCTGTCCACCCACTGGCTCCTCTTGTGGGAGCTGGGCAGCACCTGGACCTGCAGCAACTGGTCCCTGCTGCTCCTGAGTCCTGGGCCAGGTGCCTGTGTGTCACCAAGGGGAAGGGCAACTTCGGAGCAGGTCACTGTCCACACACTTCGTCCTCGTGAGGTCTAATTGTCCGTGGGGGTTGCAGTTTGTCCTGATAGGTTCCACTTTGTCTTTGCTGCTGTCCACACCTAGCTTTTCTTCCTGACTGCCCATGTGGCTGACCTGTGGAGACTTTCCTCCCGAGGTCAGAGGCCAGGCAGCAGCCTGTGCACACTCGCTGGCCAGCTCCCACAATGCACACAGTGCCATTTCTATACCGGGGCCCAGACTTTCCAGTTCACGGAGCCCTTCGTGTCTCAGAGCTTTTTCCTCAGTGCCCTGAGGCCAAAGCAAATACTGGACTGCTCCCCTTGTGAAGTGGCTAGATCCAAACAACTGAAGTGTTTTTGTGTATAGCTGTTGGAAAACACACATCAATTAGAAAAAAATTATTTTATTTTTAAATAATCAGTGCTGGAAGACGATGCACTGAAATACTAACATCTCAGAGAGGCTGGACTTGAGGAGTGGGAATGCAGGCACATCTCTTTACCTCTTTGGGCTTTTTACCTGTTTCTAGTTTTCTACAAAGCACATGCATTGTTTTTGTAACAAGAAAAAAAAGCACTATTTCAAAAGTGGAACTGGAGGATGTCCTGAAACATTCATTATCATGATATGGTTGTGGGCCAGATTTTGGTTTCTGATGCAGTTTTATTGCACCAAAGCAATGGACCAATGTTTTTTCATTCCATTAACCCTCCTTCTCTCCACTCTGTAGAGGGGGCCGGCAGGCTGCAAGGGCAGAGCTGACATGCACCTTGGCTTCCAAAGCCTATGTTTGTCCCCATTTTCTATGTGGAGGCATAAGCCCAGTGCAGAGTGACCTCCTCTTCGCCAGACAAAAAGTTTTCTAAACCTTCATGATGCCAGCTTTTTCATGCAAACATAGCAGGTCCCCGCCTGAATGGGAGGGTGGCTTGGTAAGAGCACACTGGTGTCCAGAAGGAGAGAGGCCAGCCCAGTGGTGGTGTAGTGTTGCTAGGTGGGACACCCAGCCCCTTAGCATGCTTTCTGACCGGGGCTGTCCTTTCTCCCCTTGGCTGTTCTGGCACTATAGGCTCCACAGCAGCCCCCACCCCCCAACCTGGGCTCTGTTGGCGTGTGTCCACCTCACTGAGCACAGGGCTCTTCCAGAACATTCCCAGCACCCCTCCCCCCAATCCCATACCTGTGTCTCCCAGGGTTTGCTTTGACAGGAGCTGGTCCTCAGTCGCCATGTGTGATTGAATTGATTTGTGCAAGTGACAATGGCGTCATGAGTCCATTCGAGTGCATTCCTGCCATGGAATTCAGCGCAGACACCAAGAACAATGCTTTGAAATAATGTATTGCCCCGGAAAAGCGATCGAACATCCTACTACTTAAAAACAACCAGGGCAGAAGGGAGTCCAGAGGGGAGCTGGGGAGTACAAAAGTCCATCTTCGTTACAGTCATCAACATGCACCAAGAGAAGAAACAAGCTGAAAGAAAGCACATCGAACATATACAGTGGCTGCCTTTGGGTAGTGGGGCTTATGGGTGATCTTGATGTCTGGGTTTGTTCCCTTTGTGTTAAGCATTTTTAGAAATAGTTTTTGCTACTAGGAAATGGAGTTTTAAGGAAATCTAAGTCTGAGGAACAAGGGAACAGAGACATGAGAAATAGGAGGTCCTTGCTGGGAGGTGAAGTGTTAGGGACATTGAGGGAAAATACGTTTCTTTGGGGGAAGGGCTTTCTCCACCCCCTACATCAAGGCAGAGTCCCCAGCCCACCCGCCTGGTCTGCTCCTCTGTTCCAGCCTCAGATGCCGTCAGCGGGCACACCGGTCAGTTTTCTGAGGATGGATGCGAGGTGGTGGGCAGAGCTCTGGTCCATCGAACCAGAGACCCAGAGGAAGAAAATCAACCCGTGTCCTTTGGCCCCTGGGTCATGTCGGCAATAAAGCCGTTTCCTGCTGCATCGCCCGACTGACAGGGAAGGGAGATTGTGAAAATGCTCAGAAAGAAAGGCATGGTCATGGGAGTGACGATTCCCTTCCTTCTGTGGCTGTTGCCAGAAGTACCACACATTATACGCACGGTCTTTGTCTAGCCCACTACCTGCGTGGTTTGGTTTTGGTGAATACAAGAATTTTCTCTAAGGGAAGTTCCAGGGCAACAGCAGTTTCCTATTCCTATTTCCCATTAGGTCTCATGGTCATGAGTCCCTTGTTCCTCAAGGTTTCCAAGAGCCGAAACCCTGCAATCGGGGATTATGTGGGGGGTAGGGAGTGGCAGCAGCTGTTAGTGGGGCAAGTGTACTGTGGAGATCACCATTTCCAAATTCATCGGTGGTGGGGGAGGAGACAGGAGGGGGTTGCTCAGGGACTTTGTTTCCAAATGTTGACGTTCACAAACCTGCAACCTTGTTTGGGCGCAAGACCTTCGCCATCACCCTTTGTCCCGTCTTCTGGAATGTCCCAGTTCACTCATTCATCTCCAGGGAGAAGTGTACGGAGAAGACTCCAGCCACGGAAGTGATTTCGTGTAGACCACCTCACCCCCGGGCGGTGCCCGCTCCGCGCTGAGCCAGGGGTCGGAATCTGAGTGGTCTCCTCTCCCGCCAGTGTGCCTGGCAGGCCACTCTTGCCAGGGGCTGAGTCACAACCCGTTAGAGAGCTCCTGCTCCCTCATGAAGGGGGGCATGGAGCTGGCCCTCTCCTGCCTATTGGTGCGGAGGAAGGGCTGCCACTTCCCCAGGGGCATGGACAGGAGCCGTTGGAAGAGCTGGCGCAGGTACTTGCGGAACCTCTGGCCGATGAAGACGTAGATGATGGGGTTGATGCAGCAGTGCGAGTAGGCGATCATCTCCGTCACCTGTATGGCCAAGTACAGCTGTTTGCTCTGCTTACACTGACTGGACAAGATGGTGTTTTGGAAAGCAGACACAAACACAGTCAGATTGAAGGGCGTCCAAAAGAGAAAGAAGGCGAGCATGATGACAAAAATCAGACGGACGGACTTGGCCTTCTTCTCATTGGGCTGCCGGAGCAGGATCCTGATAATCCTCGTGTAGCACACAATCATGACCGCCAGGGGCAAAATCAGCCCCACGATGTTCAGCTTCAGAGCCTGGAACTGCCTCCACTGCTGCAGGTGTTCTTGAGGGAAGTGAAGGCTGCAGGTGCAACCAGTGAACTCCTCCTGCGTCTTAGAAAAGTAAAAGCCCGGGATGGCAGGCAGGAAGGCCAGGGCCCAGACGATGCTGCTGGTGATGACGCCAAAGGTGACGGTCTGGGTCCGCAGCACAAACATGCGGTGGACGAGGGCCAGGTACCTGTCGATGGTCAGCAGGATGATGAAAAAGATCTCGCTGTACAGGCCTACATAATAAAACCCCGACAGCAACTTGCACATCCCGTTGCCAAACACCCAGGTATCCTTCAGGCTGTAGTCAATCCAGAAGGGCAGCGTGAAGAGGAAGAGCAGGTCAGAGAAGGCCAGGTTCAGGAGGTAGACGCTGGTCCTGCTCTTGAGCCTCTTGTACTGCATGAGGACCAGGACCACCAGGATGTTGCCGACCAGGCCAACGACAAACACCAGGGAGTACAATGGGGGCAGCAGCTGAGCCCCCAAAGCCCTCACGTCCTCTTTATTGCATGGGGTTGCACCCCCATAGTCATATTCTATGGCCCCATCATAGTCCATTGGGAGCGTGGTGTTTTCCATTCTGGCTTCTCCCACGGGTCCAGGAAGATGGTTTCTGTATTCCCTTTGCTGTTAAGGGCAGTGGGCTCTGGACAACAAAGACAAGGCAGCGATTATACATCTTCAGCTATTTGACAACTGTTTGCTGAGTGCCTACTGTGTGCCATGCCCTGGGACCTAAGGATGACCAAGGGAACCTGGTCTTCCCTCTGCCCTCATGGAAACTATACTTTAACGGGGAGTGGAGGGGCCAACCAGCAAATGAGTGTGCAAACTGTGACTTCGACTACTTGTCACTGAGTGTCGTGAAGGAAAAGTCTGGGGGACGGAGAACCCAGACAAAGGGAGACCTCGCCCACATTCTCCATCATCCATGCTTCCCTCATGCTTCCTGCGAACTTGGCATCAAACCTGGTGCTAACCAACCCCGGAGGGCACTGTTACTGCTGCCCATTTTAGGGGGGTGACACGGAAGTCTGACGTGGTGAGGACCCATGAGTGGTGAGGACCCACGCGTGGTGAGAATGAGAGCCGCAGCCGGATTCTGGCGCGCATCACTCTCCTGCCCACTCCTGAGACCACTCAGCTTTCCTGCCTGCAGCTGCGTAGGACCGACCTTGCCCTTCCTCTGGAGTCCACAGAAGGACATGGGATGGAAAATAGTCCTGGCTGAGAGTCGAAAACGAACTGATGGATTTTCACAGCCTTGGAGGCTAACACGATTCTCAGCGAGGGTGACACAGGGCGCTGGGGGCATGTGAAAATATGTGGGTATTTGATGTGGGTATAAAACATGTGGGTATTTGATATGGGTATAAAATATGTGGGTATAAAACGTGGGTATTTGATGTGGGTATTTGATATGGGTATAAAATATGTGGGTATAAAACGTGGGTATTTGATGTGGGTATTTGATGTGGGTATAAAATATGTCGGTATTTGATGTGGGTATTTGATGTGGGTATAAAATATGTGGGTATTTGATGTGGGTATAAAATATGTGGGTATTTGATGTGGGTATAAAATATGTGGGTATTTGATGTGGGTATAAAATATGTGGGTTTTGCGTTGTCACAAAGCCTAGGACACGCTCCTGTTGTTTGGTGGGCAGGGCCAAGGATGTCCTACAGGGCACAAGCCATCCCACCCACACCCCGATAGTGTGGCCATAGTGAAATTCTAGGAAGCCAACCCCGTCCCTTAATTGAGGACACCGAGGACACCAGCAGGGTCCCTGATGGGGGCACAGGCAGGTTGACAGTAACTCTGGAGGCCCTTTGTGAGAGCAGTGAGGATTTGCAGGAAAGCACAGGCTGGGGGGAGTGGGGTGACCTGGTGAGAAGAAAGGGGGAGAAAGAGCTCAGAACAGCTTCAAGCCACGAGGCATTGCTCAACATCAAGGTGGAAGCTGAAGTAAGCTCCTAAATAGCTGTCTTTACCCAAGATTATGTTGAAACAAACACACACAAAAAAGAGCCACTCGAGAGCCCGCCTGCAGGAAGCGCCCCAAGCCCTGGTCTCTAGCCCCCTCCTGCTTCCTGCCGACCGCTCACTGAGACTCGGGGAACCTATGGCTGTGCGAACTCGAGGACGTTCATCTGCCTCTGAGCCTCGGTTCCCCCTCTGTAACGTGGGAAAGGAACAGTTACCTTGAAGGGCTACTGTAGGGTGAAATACGAGACAAGCCCCCAAGGAGACTTACCAGGACCTTAGGAAATCTTAGTGGACTGTTGGGGCACGCCTTCCCTGTGGGGACCCTTCCCGGAGGCCCGTTGCCACCAGGAATGTCCCAGGCACCCGTCTTTTCCTGGCTGAGGAACCCCACCCCCCCAGTCGCCCCACCAGGTCTCTCTGTAGCTCATCCAGAAAGCGAATTCTGCTCGACAGTGATGGACACGACAGCCCCTCCCCATGTGAACTGGGCTTTGAAACTTTCAGTATGTTGCCACCAGTCTGAGGTGCTTTGACTTAAACACCAACCAGTAACGTAGGTGGACCCTATATCACACTTCCCAGCTTCAGTCCGCAGCCTCTGGTGCTCTTCCCTCTACACTCTGCTCAATGCCTGTTTCCTGCCCAGAGATTTACACTGTGCACTGGCCACTGGAAATGAAGCGCACACAGGGTGTTGGGCACCTCAGCTGGGGGCAGCGTTATTTCCTGCCGAGTCCACTCCTCTGGCTCTCTCCTCCTTCTCTGGATTTGCCCCTGGGTTGAGTAATCAGCCCTCTTTCTGGGGAAACCCGGACTGGCAGTCGCTAACGAGCCCTGTTGACAATGCCTGATCTCCACTGTCACTGGCGGTGCTGGCAGATCAGCTGGGCAGCCCGGCAATTCGGGCCCAGTGGGTTCACAGTGCACGCAGCAAGTAGCTTGGAAGCACAAAGAGCTGCTAGTGCAAGACTGACCCCCTAAGCCCAGTTTTGGGGGGAATTTTGGCAATGGTAAAGGCACGCTGAGTCAGCGTTATAAGAAGCCATTCTGAACTGAGAGTCCCCTCCATACCCCCGACCCTCAACAGCATCCACTGTGTTTCCAACTTGTTGGGCACCAGGCAGCAACCTCAGGACACGCTGCCCCAGAGGGAGAAGGGGACCGGGCTGGGGGCCCAGGAGGAGAAAACCGAGGACCATGCTGCTATCCAACCTGGCAGCCACGCTGTATACAGTCTGCTGCAAAAACTCTGCCCCCAAGGCCTTTCATTCATTGCCCAGGGGATCAGCTCTGGCCCTGGAGCCTGGAACCTCCCTGTGCCAACATCCTCCAGCCTGGGAGGCTCTGAGCAGAGGGTCTGTGAGGTAATGACACCAGGCCTGCTGGCCTGCAGGAGCTGGCCTAGCCGGGCTCATGAGAACCAGTCATGTGCATGTTTTCTCAGCTCCACATTCGGCGTGGAGCTGAAATCCACCATCGTGGGAGTATCTACGCATGGGAATCGGCAAGACTAGAAATCAGGACTGTTTTTTAGGGCTCTTAGCAGCAATCAATGCTTCCCCCCACCCCTGCCCCCAGTCTGAGTAGCCCAAGAGCTGTCCGGCCGGTCACAGTGGGGACTGCAGGGCCGGTGAGTGGCACGCAGCCCGGTGGCAGGCTGTGCAAACTCCTGGGCGTTGCTAACTCTGGAAACCCGAGGCCCTCCCCAGTTGATGGGGCCCCCGTGCCCCTCTGTCTTCGGACCACAGCTCTGCTGACTCTCTGCTAGAACAGAATAGATGCATCCCAAGAGGTCCTCCGGCCAGCCCCCTGCCTTTGGCTGGGTGGAATTCTACCTCCTCCAAACCCAGCCCGCAGTCTGATCTTGAGGATCCTCGGTTCTAGTCTTCTTCAGAAGCGGGTTCAGTATCCGATCATCCTTACATCCGCCAAGGCCTTTCTCGTTCATGCCTCCCTCTTGCTGCACTGACTCCATATTCCAGCTACGGTTTTCACTTACACGGGGAAAATTGGGCAAGTAAATTCCTCTCGAATAGCCTTCTACAGAAAGTGCCTCTTGTCCCTTAATACTGGGCCAACTTACTTAAAAAAAAAATTATCCTCATGCAAAGCCATTTTATTCATGGCTTTTACAGAGAGAGAAACATCATTGCGAGAGAGAATCATCAATTGGTTGCCTCCCACATGAGCCTGGACCAGGGACTGTACATGCCCAGGCCGGGGATCAAGAATGAAACCACCAACCCAGGAATGTACCCTGACCAGGAATGGAACCCATAACCTTCCTGTTATGGGACGAAACTCCAACCCACCGAGCAAGCTACACTGGCCAGGGCTGGGCTGATTTTCTAAGTCAGTGACTAACAACCCATCATTCAAGAAAGCTTCCCTTTTTAAGCAAAAATAAAAACCTGGTTTACATCCGAGTGCCCAGTCTCATAAATCCACCCATTTTCAGTGTTGCTACACAGCTCATTGCCTTCCAGAAGTGTCTGCGGGCTGCTCAGACACACTGCACGCACGTACTCTCACCAGATTCCCTCCAGGGAGGACGACAAGGCAGAAAAGACAAGGGCCACTTACGCTGGTGTCAAGGAGCTTTGTCCACAGAGTCTTTGTTTCTGGAGCGTTTAGAGTCTTTGTTTTCAAGGTTCAAGGTCTCAATAGAATAGGAGGAAGTCCTCAGCTTCCCGTGTAGTGATGGAGACAGGACTCTGGGGTTCTTGGTCGTTCAGAATGACAAGAAGGGGACAGAAGTCTTCCTTTTGTGTGGTTGGGTGTCCATGCACGGCCACAACGCCCACCAGTGGCCAGTTGCTGGAGGCTGAGGTCACTCTAAGGACTTTTTCTGGTCACTGGATTGCACTTCGTCCTGGGGAGTTCTGTCTTAAGGGATCGGGAGGGTGGGGTAGGGTGGAACTCAGTGGAGCAAGGTGGGTGCCAGCACAGTTCTGAGAACTTGTGGAGCAATTGCAGGCTGGGAATTGAGGTGGGAGGGACGAATGCAGGGCATGGAGCTCTTGTGGTCAGTAAGCAGGCTTTTTTTCTTTCCTTTAAAGATTGCAAGTACCCTGGGTCCTGTGTTCCTCAAAATGATCCGGCTGATAAAAGCCAGCGAGCAGCGTCAGCTTCTCTCTGGCGCCCTCTATGCCCTGGGCTTCTGACTGCTCTGAACCCCGCCTCTCCTCCCCTGTCCGCGCCCTCCAGGCTCCCTCCCCAAAACCCACAGAGCGGTTTTATTGAGAGGGGCCTCCAGCCTGCAGGGAATCCAGGGCCGGTGCACGGAGCCTGGCAATGGGCCGCCACGGGCCACGTTCCAATCCCAGCTCTTCACTTGAGTCACAGGCAGATCACTAGCCTTTCCCAGTCTTGGTTCGCCCTCCATCCGATGAGTATGCTGAACGCTTAGGCCCGCAGGAGGATGCGAGAGGTTGGCTTGTAGGCGAAAAACGTCATCATGGGCGTCAGGCACGAGGAAACATGTCCGATGAGTGATGCTCACGACCGTCCTCCCCACGACTACCGGCGCCTGCTGGCTGCCCGTGCCCCTCAGATTATTCCACCTGCTTCTCTGTGAAACGGGGATTCCGCCAACCTTTCCCGCAGGCCCCACTGGCAAGCGCCACTCAGAAATCATGAACGTGGACGTCCTCTGAAACTGTCACTTGTCCCTTCAAGGCGACGAGGTGCCTCAGTATCCACTTCCTTGGAACATCCCGTGAGTCTCCCGGGTTGGGTCTGCCCTCTGGGGCCGCCCGGCCTCAGAGAGATGGTGGGAGAGAGAGGCCAAAGGGCAACCAGATTCACAACGACAGCCTTGGGCCCAGGAACCTGTGGCCCTTGTGCAGAGAGCAGGGAAGGGGGGGCGGGGGCGGGGTACACACAGGGCCAAGCCTCTGCAATCAGGCAGTCCCGCATTTGAACCCTAGGCCCGCCTTTCCCTTACATTGGGCATGTTATTTAGGCTTCCAAGTGTCTCTTTCTTCTACTGTACAAGGTTAATAACGCCAACTTTATAGGGAGGATTAGGTGAAGATACATGTACACATACCTATAAAGGAATGACTGAGTGCAGTTCTCGAGAGCTTCGAGTTGCCTGTGTTAATCTGCGGTTTCCCTCCTGGGATGCAAGCACAGGAAGTGTGCCTGTGGGGACCCCGGGAAACACCGCAGGGGGAGGGGAAAGTGGGCCCAGAAACAAACGGAGCCCATGAAGGGGGTCCGAGAGCCACCACCCCCCGTGGGCAAGCCGAACTCGGTCCTGCTGTGGAACTCAGAGGCCCCTAGGGTCACCCCAACTTCAGGCAGGAGGGGTGAGCAAACCAGGCAGTGCCCAGGACATCTCCACCTGCCCACCCCGGGTTGAGGGCTGCTCCTGGGGGGATTCTGGCTTCCCGTCTGCCCTGCTCCCCAGGCAGGGAGCCCTGTGTTTTCAGGAAGCAGTCTGCAGCGTGTAGAGGTGTGTGTTGAGGTGTGTGGCCACATGGTGCTCAGTGTGAGCACAGCTGAGCTCCCCCCGCCCCTGCATCAGCTCTCAACCCAGCCCCACAACAGCAAATGGAAGGGGGGCACGCACTCGGCTGTGGGCAGCACCTAGCCGGCAGGTCAGTTTCAGAGCGTGAGGCCCGCCTCTTCCTCGGTCGTGGCTAAGGTAAGCACCACGGTCAATACCCCTGATCCTTGACTGGCTTTCCAGCTCAGCCCTAGGCTCCTGCGGCCCCCATGACACAGAGAGGACATGCCAGGCAAATACCCTTGTTCACTGAGAAAATATCCACAGAGTACCCAGGATGCGCCAGGTGCTGTGAGGCGCTAGGGACACAGCAGTGACCAAGAGAGTTGGGCCCCATTCTTCAGGTGCTCACGGCTGAGCAAGAATCACAGACAATGAAGCAAGTCACTGCAGTAAGGAACAATGCCATGGCCTGGGAAGTGCCCTGGGCCAAGGAAGGGAGCACCTGGGGTGAGGGGGTGGGGAAGGGAACCTTCTAGAACAGGGGTTCTCAAAGTTAGCACCTTAGAGCAGCCGCATCGACACCCCCAGGAACTTGCTAGTGAGGCAGATTCTGTGGTCCTATTCCAGACTTACTGAGTCAGAAATTTTGGCTCTAACATGCCCTCCCGTGATTCCGATGCATACTCAAGTTTGGGAACCATGGGTCTGGATTTTTCACCCAGACTGTGGCCCAAAGTCCTGGGGAATCTCTCTCCAGGAGCACTGAGCTGGGCCAGAGGGGAGCTGGGAAGCCTTCTCTGGCTCTTATAGCTTAAGGCCTAAACAGGAAGTAGCTCCGTGGGCGGTCTCCCCTGTCTGATGCCCACACCCAGGGGGGTCCCTCCCTGTGGCCTTTCAAAGGTGGGAGGCACACACACACACACACACACACACACACACACACACAGCTGTTTAATTTTTTTAACACAGGTGGAGCATCTGATACACATTGTTTTCCATCTGGCTTTTGTCTCATGAACCCAGAAGACGTCTTACCAGCACACGGGACCGGCTTTAGGCAGGGGCTGCAGCCACCCGCCGTGTGGTGGGAACACAGCGAAGTGTCAGTAAGGCGCACCCAAGATCCTACCCCTGACTCTGTCTAGGACTCTGATTCCTGAATCCGACACCCCGCCCAGTGTCAACCCCGGCCAGGCCCGAGGGCCCCTCCTCTCCCAACTCACCGATTTCCTTTTTGCGTCTCATCCACGGCATCCGATCCTGACTCAGCCCCGTCTCAGCTTCTCCTTTTCGATCTCAAACGCAACATCCCAGAAACCTTAGGTTTTGTGTAACCAGGACAGGTCAGGGTTGGGCTGCCTGACGGCAGGCGCGGCAGGCGGCCTGGTTGTTGTTGTCACCTTTCAGTTTCGATTTTGACAGCAGGAAGTTAATTTCCGAGAGAGCGGACAGAGGTGCCATGACCACGGGGACCTCTCTGCCGCCTCATCCTGGGACACACTGCCCCGGGCTGCATGGCAGAAGGGGCTGCTTCTGACCCCAGGCCACTTGCTGGACATGGAAGCCCGACTGGCAGGTGTCCCACAGACAGACCGGAGGGGCTTGGGTGACACAAGTGACCCCTAGTTGCCAGCCCAGCCCTGCCCCCTCCACACCACCTCACTGTCCCCCCCCCACCTCCCACCCTGTTTCACTTCCTTCCCCCGCCTCTCCGCCCACCACCACCCCCGACCTGTGCTCCATCCAGCCAGGTGGTCATTTTTCCTCCTCACTCTCTGCTTCCCCTTGCCTGCCTGGCCTCTCCCAGGCATGTCTCACCGTCCCCCCACTCCCACCCCCACCCCAGCATGCTACACACCCCAACCTAACACAACAAAGGAAACGCTACCAATGGTCCTTGGTTCCATTCTCGGTTCTGCTCAGCTGCGCTGTTGTGCTGGGTCATATCCCAAAATGCAAGGGGGCATTGGGCGCATCCATGTCAGATCCTCCCCCCTGAATTACCCAAGAGGTCACCTCCTCCCGGGAGCCGCCCCGCCCTCTGCAGTAGGGAGACATCCACGAGGGACAGACGCTCTCTGAGGGGTTCAGTCTTTCTTTTTCGTGGGGGAGAGTGGAGATCCCTTTTCCGCACCGAATTATATACTCTGGGCACTTTTCACAATAAATAACAAAGCAGTTCACTCAAAATAGCTCCAAAAATTAAAAAGAACAGAAACATTTTCTCACAAACCTAGGAGTCAGCTCTGGTGTGGTACTACTCCCTACCATTCTCTTATAATAATTCTTCATGACTTCACTATCCACCTATGTCTGTCTCTGCTGCCTAACAGACAACCTCCATCCTCAGGGGCTTAAAATCACAATGACATTTTGTGACTCTGCGGACCAGGTGGGTGGCCCACAGTGGCTTCGCTTCCACCTCCGGCAGTGGCCACTGGGTGTCTCTGTGCTCCTGCGGCCTCTCACCCTCCGGGCGGGCGTCTGGCCTGGCTCTGCCGCCTGGCTGTCTCAGATAGAAACAGGAACTGCGAAGCATATTAAGACATAGCCTCGGAAGTCACATAATGGTGCTTCTGCCGTATTCTGTCAGTCAAAGCAAGCCACCGAGCCAAGTCACAGTCAAAGAGTCGGACAGTGAGTGATATCTACCTTTCTAAGAGGAGCAGTAAAGTCCCATGGTAAAAGGCTGTGTGTACCCAGATGGAAGGACTTTGAAGTCACATTTACCTTCTACTGAAAGCACAGGTTTCCTGTGGCTCCCCAGCCCTGAACTCCTTTCCTCTAACGGTCTCGTCTTCTCCCTCCCTCAGCCACTCACACCCTCGATCCTGACCTCTGGATCTTCCCATCACTGACGTCTGTGGCCCTGCGCATCTCGGTTCCCAGTGGCCCAGCCACTGACCCCACCGCCTTCTAGAACTTCAGCTCCAACATTTCTTTTCACTGGTATTTCCATTTTTCCACTGGCCCTTGGCCTCCTCGTGCCCTTGCGTGGCATCATGCTGAAGTCCGTGGGCCTTTGTCACTGTCCCTCCTGTACGTAAACCCAGCCTCGACTCCCTTCCTCTGTCCTGATCTTGTCATGTTCACCTGCTAAATGCCCTGTCCTGGTTCAGTCTGACTGCCCACCTGCACCCATGACATCGGATGAGGCTGTGCCACCGTACTCACTGGGACCACTCCAGATGACGAGAGCCAACCGCCTTTCCCTCTCTTAGACATTATTTCCTACCTTCCGCCTTTTCCCTGAACCTCCAACACCACTCTGTTGTGCTCATTCTTAGCTGGTGACCTTGTTCCTACATCACAGAGAAAACAGAGGCCATAAGAAGAGACCTTGCGCATATCTTACCTCCTCTCGTCCCATCCGCCCTTTCTGGGCCCTTCTACTCTGCCTTCCCTCCTGTTCTGTGAGTGGATTCTCCACGCTCCCATCGAAGTCCATCCTTTCCACGTCGCACGGGATCCCACCCTCTCACCTGCTCCAGGACATGGACCTAGTCCTGTCCTCTGGTATCATTGGTTTTCTCTGCTCTGCTGGATTGCTCCCACCAGCTCACACACACCCTCCTACTTCTCCTGTCCTAAACAAACAAGCAAGCAGAGACTTCCGGCCAACATGGAGGCATAGGTAGATACGCTTTGCCTCCTCCCACAATCAAAAGAAGGACAACAAGTTTAAAAACAAAAAATAACCAGAACTGCCAGAAAATCAAACTGTATGGAAGTCCGACCACCACACTGTTAAATAAGAAATATTCATTCAGACCAGTAGGAGGGGTGGAGACAGGCAGCCAGGGCAGAGAGAATGGGTGGCAGGGCAGTGGCTGGAGGACTGGGAGGGCAAGGTGGCAGCTGGTGGACCAGGTGGTCCCACATTTGAATGTGGATAAACTGGGAGGGACAATTGAGGAGCAAGACAGACTGCGCAACCCAAGGTTCCAGGACGGGGAAGTAAAGCTTCAAAACCTCTGACTGAAAAATCCTGTGCGGGTTGAGGTGGCAGGAGAAACTCCCAGCCTCACAGGAGAGTTCTTTGGAGAGATCCACAGGGTCCTAGAATGTACACAAGTCCACCCACCTTGAAATCAGCACCAAAAGGGCCCAATTTGCTTGTGGGTAGCAGGGGAAGTGACTGAAAGCCACCTGAGAGCCGAACAAGTGGCATTGTTCCTTCTCGGCTCCCCCACATACAGGGCCACAAGGCAGTGATGTGGGTTGCCCCGCCCTGGCAAATACCTAAGGCTCTGGCCCTGACTAGGTAACAGGCCCACTGAGATAAAAAAAAATATGGTCCAAATGAAAGAACAGATCAAAGCTCCAAAAGTACAATGAAGAAATGAAGAGATAGCCAACCTATCAGAGGCAGATTTCAAAATATTGGTAATCAGGATGCTCACAGAAATGGTTGAGTATGGTCACAAAATAGAGGAACTAGTAAAGGTGATACAAAGTGAAATAAAGAAAAATACACAGAGAACCCACAGTAAAGGGAAGGAAACTGGGATTCAAATCAGCGGTTTGGAGCAGAAGGAAGAAATAAACATTTAACCAGAACAGAATGAAGAAACAAGAATTCAAAAAAAAAATGAGGACAGGCTTAGGAACCTCCAGGACAACTTTAAACATTCCAACATCTGAATCATAAGCACGCTAGAAGGAGAAGAGGAAGAGGAAGAAATTGAAAATTTATTTGAAAACATAATGAAGAACTTCCCCAATCTGGCAAAGGAAATAGACTTCTAGGATATCCAGGAAGCTCAGAGAGTCCCCAAGAAGTTGGACCCAAGGAAGAACACACCAAGGCACATTATAATTACATTACCCAAAATTAAAGAGAAGGAGAGAATCTTAAAAGCAGCCAGAGAAAAGGAGATGGTTACCTACAAAGGAGTTCCCATTAGGCTGTCAGCTGATTTCACAAAGGAAAACTTACAGGCAAGAAGGGGCTGGAAAGAAGTATTCCAAGTCATGAAAGGCAAGGACCTACATCCAAGATGACTCTATCCAGCAAAGCTTTCATTTAGAATGGAAGGGCAGATAAAGTGCTTCCCAGACAAGATCAAATTAAAGCAATTCATCATCACCAAGCCCTTATTATATGAAATGTTAAAGGGACTTATCTAAGGAAAAGAAGATGACCAAAAATATAAACAGTAAAATGACAACAAAATCACAACTATCAACAACTGAACCTGAAACAAAACAAAACAAAACAAAAACTAAGCAAACAACTAGAACAGGAACAGAACCACAGAAGTGGAGATCACATGGAGGGTTAGCAGCAGGGAGGGGAGAGAATGGGGGGAAAGGTTCAGGGAATAAGAAGCATAAATAGTAGTTACAAAATAGATGGGGGGAGGTTAAGGCGAGCACAGGAAATGGAGAAGCGAAAGAAATTAGATGTATGACCCGCGGACATGAACAAAGGGGGGGGATGCTGGTGGCAGGGGAGGTTAGGGCAAAGGGGAATGAAGGGGAGAAAAAAGCGGGACAACTGTAATAGCACAATCCGTAAAACCTATTTTAAAAAACAAAAACCGAACAAATAAGCAGGCCAGCAAACAAGTAGACAGTCTTCCTTGATTCCGCTTCTACCTCTAATGACCGACTCAATTCTTCGATTTTGACGATAACATTCCTCAGAGTTGTGTCCACTGGGGTCCGGCTCCACTCTCCCCAGGCTTTCTGGAACCCATCTGTCCACTGCTCTTGTCCAGGCCCCCAGGGACCCCCACGGGACTAAATGCAATGGCTGGTTCTCAGGCCTCATTGGCCTTGACCGCTCAGCACAGCGCACGCTGCCGTCACTCCCTCTTCTTGGCAGTCCCTCTTCCTGCGTGTAGGACCCCACACCCTCCGGCTTTCCCTCTTCTCTCAGCAGCAGCTCCGGCTCAGTTCCTGCCGCTGCTTCCTGCTCAGTAGCCCCACTTCTTGAACTTGGCGTGCCCCAGGGCACGGCCCTTGTGCCCCCTTTCTCTCCCACCTGCACTCACACTTAGGTGGCACCCTTCTCTCTCACGGCTCCCAGTGTCATGTTCGTGCCGAAGACGCCCCAACGTACAGCTCCAGCCCCACCCCCTCCCGCAGATCCAGGCTCACGGCCAAGGCTCTGCCCAAGGTCTCCCCTCAGGCTCCTAACAGACGGTGCAAGGTGAACTCCTGATCTTCCTTCCAAACCCTTTGCCGCCACGGTCGTCCTCCTCTGGCGGTAAATGGCAGCGCCGCCCTCCCGTTGACCCTGCCAACTCTTGCGGGTGTTCTGGACTCGGCTCCCGTGAACCTGACATGCAATGTTTCCAGTGCCTGTCGGCTCTGTCTTCCAAACATACACAGATCCAATCCCTGCTCGCATCCACTGCCCCTGCTGTGGTTCAAACCACCCGAAGACCACAGTCGCTTTCCAACACAGCGGCCAGAGCGATGCTTCGAGAGTTATCTCAGATCGGGCCCTTCTCTTCCTAGTCCTTACGCTGGCCTGCCAGGGGGCACGCCCCCGGCCCTCGTTCCCTCCCTGATCTTACCTCCCAACACTCCCCGCTTTGCTCGCTTTGCTCCAGCCAAGCTGAACCTAGGATGTCCTTGAACACACCAGGT